GTATTATACATGGAGATCATATCCCCCCCTATGTATTATGCATGGAGATCACATCCCCCCTTTTGTATTATACATGGAGATCATATCCCCCCTATGTATTATACATGGAGATCATATCCCTCCTTTTGTATTATACATGGAGATCATATCCCCCTTATGTATTATACATGGAGATCATATCCCCCTTATGTATATTATACATGGAGATCATATCCCCCTTATGTATTATACATGGAGATCATATACCCCCTTATGTATTATACATGGTGATCATATCCCCCCTTATGTATTATACATGGAGATCATATCCCCCCTTATGTATTATACATGGTAATCATATCCCCCCTTATGCATTATACATGGAGATCATATCCCCCCTTATGTATTATACATGGTGATCATATCCCCCCTTATGTATTATACATGGAGATCATATCCCCTCTTATGTATTATACATGGAGATCATATCCCCCCTTATGTATTATACATGGAGATCATATCCCCCTTATGTATTATACATGGAGATCATATCCCCCCTTATGTATTATACATGGAGATCATATCCCCCTTATGTATTATACATGGAGATCATATCCCCCCTTATGTATTATACATGGTGATCATATCCCCCCCTTATGTATTATACATGGAGATCATATCCCCCCTTTTGTATTATACATGGAAATCATATCCCCCCTTTTGTATTATACATGGAGATCATATCCCCCCCCTTATGTATTACACATGGAGATCATATCCCCCCTTATGTATTATACATGGAGATCATATCCCCCTCTTATGTATTATACATGGAGATCATATCCCCCTTATGTATTATACATGGAGATCATATCCCCCTCTTATGTATTATACATGGAGATCATATCCCCCCTTATGTATTATACATGGTGATCATATCCCCCCTTATGTATTATACATGGAGATCATATCCCCCCTTATGTATGAATTTTACATGGAGATCATATCCCCCCTTATGTATTATACATAGAGATCATATCCCCCCTTATGTATTATACATGGAGATCATATACCCCCTTATGTATTATACATGGCGATCATATCCCCCACTTATGTATTATACATGGTGATCATTTCCCCCTTATGTATTATACATGGTGATCATATCCCCCCTTATGTATTATACATGGAGATCATATCCCCCCTTATGTATGAATTTTACATGGAGATCATATCCCCCCTTATGTATTATACATAGAGATCATATCCCCCCTTATGTATTATACATGGAGATCATATACCCCCTTATGTATTATACATGGCGATCATATCCCCCACTTATGTATTATACATGGTGATCATTTCCCCCTTATGTATTATACATGGAGATCATATCCCCCCTTATGTATTATACATGGAGATCATATCCCCCCTTATGTATTATACATGGTGATCATATCCCCCCTTATGTATTATACATGGTGATCATATCCCCCCCTTATGTATTATACATGGAGATCATATCCCCCTTATGTATTATACATGGTGATCATATCCCCCCTTATGTATTATACATGTGATCATATCCCCCTTATGTATTATACATGGAGATCATATCCCCCCTTATGTATGAATTTTACATGGAGATCATATCCCCCCTTATGTATTATACATAGAGATCATATCCCCCCCTTATGTATTATACATGGAGATCATATACCCCCTTATGTATTATACATGCCGATCATATCCCCCACTTATGTATTATACATGGTGATCATATCCCCCCTTATGTATTATACATGGTGATCATATCCCCCCTTATGTATTATACATGGAGATCATATCCCCCTTATGTATTATACATGGAGATCATATCCCCCTTATGTATTATACATGGAGATCATATCCCCCCTTATGTATTATACATGGTGATCATATCCCCCCTTATGTATTATACATGGTGATCATGGAGATCATATCCCCCTTATGTATTATACATGGAGATCATATCCCCCTTATGTATTATACATGGAGATCATATCCCCCCTTATGTATTATACATGGAGATCATATCCCCCTTATGTATTATACATGGAGATCATATCCCCCTTATGTATTATACACCCATATCCCCCTTATGTATTATACATGGAGATCATATCCCCCTTATGTGTATATCCCCCTTATGTATTATACATGGAGATCATATCCCCCTTATGTATTATACATGGAGATCATATCCCCCCTTAATCTCCTCTTCTCAAGAGAGAATACATTCAATTCCTCTAATCTTTCCTCATAGCTGATCTCCTCCATACCTCTGATCAGTTTGGTTGCCCTTCTCTGTACTTTCTCCAGTTCCCCAATGTTCTTTTTGTGAATTGGAGCCCAAAACTGAACTGCATATTCCAGATGAGGTCTTACTAATGATTTGTACCGGGGGAATGATATCTCTCTCTCTGGAATCTATACTCTTATAATACAGGAAAGGATTTTGCTCACTTTAGAAACCACAAGTAGGTAGCAGAATTTATTCTCAACTTGGGTAGAAGTGTACAGCCTGGGCTCTGGATCCAAGAGAGCTATGTTGGAACATAGGGATCAATTTGATGACTAACACAAGCACTTGCAGGCGTCACAAGGACCCTGTACTTCAGGTTTACTGTTGCTTAAGGAATATTTTAGGCCATGTAGGGTGCCTGGACCCTGCAGAAATGAATTCACAACAGTCACAGTGTAACTTCTCCCAGTTATAGACTCTTTATTTGAATTGTAATCAAACACCATAGCTTTCAAAGTGCCACATCCAAATAATGGATAAAAAAAAACACTGGCAATATGTCCTTTACTGTAAATGATGGACTTTAATGGCACAGCATGAGACAAACCAAATTCTTAAAACAATAATACACTTTATTATACAAATTTAAAAGCAAAAAAACTGTTGATTAGCAGAAAATGTGGTATATCCCCAAAGACTGGGGGTCTCCCCTTGTTATAATTCCCTCTAAAAAGTATAAGACCTGAATAACCAAGAGTGGAAACAGTATAATAAACAACCATATAGTCAAGATGCTCTTGTCTAGTTCTCACTGTCAATGAGTTTCACTTGTAGCTTCGTCAGGACTGTATAACTTAGAGGGAGCAGCAATAATATCATTTACCTCCTTAGCGGTATTCCCGAGTGTAGCTCGGGGTAAAATTTGAGTAACAAGAGCGGTAACCTCCAAGCTACACTCGGGCTTACCATGCGGCGCTGCATAGGGAGTCCCTACAGAGCTTACCTTGTCCTTCGCTCCCGCGATGTGTCCCCTGCAGCGTCCCCGGCCATCTCCTCCGGCCAATGCTGGCATCTGGCTTCTGTGTACCGGTCCCTGTGACGTCAGGACGTACGGGCGCCGGAACTGGCAGCAAATTTGAAATTTTTAAAAAATATAAATTTTTAAAAAATTATTATTACATAGTAAAACATTGCTGTTTCAATGCATTTCACATACATTTTGTCCCTACTGCTTTGTCCTGCGCCCTGCCTGCATTTTGACTGTTCTTTCTGCCTGGAAACTTAGAAAAGTCCACGGCGTCCAAAAAGCGTCCCTTTACGTCAAAAGCGGTTTTAGACCGGCTAGAGAACAGCGATAGTAAATCAGAACCACTTGCAGAATTGAGTGATAATGATTTGTGGGGGAAATTCCTCATCAGACACTGAAAACGATTCTGCGACTTTGCTCAGTGATGTGCGAACTTGGCGCTATATTTCACATTTCAGTGTTTTTGGTTTGATTATATTATTGAATTAAATTTATTATTATTATATTATTATTTTTTATGATTATTTATTAAATTATAATTTATGATTTCGTGTTTCAAATTTTATCCTACCCGGGATGTTTACTAGACTCTTGTTCGGACAGATTTCAGTGAGTTATTCCTAAAAATTACAGCCTACAATAAAAAACTACATATTTCCATGCAAAAAAATGGTACCGCTTTCAGCACAAAAAATCGGAAATAATCATACCGCTAGGGAGGTTAAACAAATAAACATCAATTATGCATATACATATATTTTATAATTATAATAAATAAATATACAAAGACTGCATAGATTACACAAGTAGGGTCCAAAATAACCTTGGGGATGGACAAAGGAGACACAGATATTGTGCATAAATAAATGATGAGTATAGATTTTGGTAATTTTATTTCATAAGATAACACCCCGCCTTTCCCTGTATTTGCTTCTGCTTCCCTGGGGGGTTTGCTAAATCTGGGTGCCCTTTGTCTGCCCCCAAGACTGGTTATTTGGACTCCATTGAGCACCCCCATACTTGTGTAAGCTATGCAGTCTTTGTTTGCAGTATTTGTTTATAATAGTTAGGAATGATATGTCTATGCCTAATTTCCCTAGACAGAAGTAAGGGTCCAATAATAGGTTACCGGTAAATCCTAAAGTAAAAAAAAGGTATTGTAGAATGTCTTTAAGTAAACATTTCAAACCACATATTCTATTGTCTGGAAATATTCTATTATCCTTGTAGCATTCATTCACAGAGGATCTTCAGTTTAAATATTATTGTTGGCCCCTGTACATTTATCAATGTAAGACCTGAAGACGCATATTCCATTCTATAAATGGGGAAGTGGATAAACACGGAGAGAATACTGTCAGCAGTACTGTCTGAGATACAAAGCAGGCCACACACACGTTACATTTTCCACTTTAAAATTTTCCACATACAAAGATCAGTAACAATCAACCCAGGCTTCTTTTTTGTCTCTCCATTTTAAATTGCTGAACATAAAAAAAATGCATGTTTCTTTCAGGGAAAAAAGTGTAACAATTATTTTTATAAAGACCTAAAAATACTTTATTTTCCTTCGGCTGACTCTCTGCTGTGCAGAGGGTGATAAGAATCATGAAGAAGTCTGTTCTAAGCAAAATATAGCCAACCTCTCCTTCTGAAATTGCTAGTTGCTTGGCTCTACTGCCAGTCCAGTTGTTTTGATATTTTCTGACTCGCTGATCCAGAAAATATAAGTTGCTCAAGCAGGGGCGGACTGACAACTCATGCGGCCCCCGGGCATTAGGGCATCATGGGGCCCCTGTGTCCTTGCCCAAACTCAAAAAAGCCTATGAACAAGGTACCAGGGGCACCTCATGGGGTCCCCTACTGACCCCGGGCCCTTGGGCAGTACCCGAGTTTCCAAATGGTCAGTCCGCCCCTGTGCTCAAGTGTTCTGACGTAACTTGCTGCATACTTCATTGAGGTCGTTGACTTGAAGTAGAACGTACTGAAACTAGAGATAGCCAGGCAACTTATAATATACTTTATATAATAATTAATAATTTCTATTAATAACTAATTTATTTAATATAATAATATAACTAATTTATATAGTAATGAATATAATAATATCATTTACAATAGCATATATACATTTATAGTAAAAAAAAAAAAAATATATATATATATATTTATATAATAATATATACACTGCTCAAAAAAATTAAAGGAACACTTTTTAATCAGAGTATAGCATCAAGTCAGTTAAACTCCTGGGGTATTGATCTGGTCAGGTAAGTAGCAGAGGGGGCTGTTAATCAGTTTCAGCTTCTTTGGTCTTCATGAAATTAGCTACTGTTACACTAGATGGCCAACAATGAGACGACCCCCAACACAGGAATGGTTTTACAGGTGGAGGCCACTGACATTTATCCCTACTCATCTTTTCTGACTGTTGTTTACTAGTTTTGCATTTGGCTAGGGTCAGTGTCACTATTGGTAGCATGAGGCTATACCTGGACCCTACAGAGGTTGTACAGGCAGTCCAACTCCTCCAGGATGGCACATCAATATGTGCCATTGTCAGAAGGTTTGCTGTGTCTCCCAGCACAGTCTCAAGAGCATGGAGGAGATTCCAGAAGACAGGCAGTTACTCTAGGAGAGCTGGACATGGCCGTAGAAGGTTCTTAACCCATCAGCGGGACCGGTATCTGCTCCTTTATGCAAGGAAGAACAGGATGAGCACTGCCAGAGCCCTACAAAATGACCTCCAGCAGGCCACTGGTGTGAATGTCTCTGACCAAACAATCAGAAACAGACTTCATGAGGGTGGCCTGAGGGCCCGACATCCTCTAGTGGGTCCTGTGCTCACTGCCCGGCACCATAGAGCTCGATTGGCATTTGCCATTGAACACCAGAATTGGCAGGTCCACCACTGGCGTCCTGTGCTTTTCACAGATGAGAGCAGGTTCACCCTGAGCACATGTGACAGACGTGAAAGGGTCTGGAGAAGCCGTGGAGAACGTTCTGCTGCCTGTAACATCGTTCAGCATGACCGTTTTGGTGGCGGGTCAGTGATGGTCTGGGGAGGCATATCAATGGAGGGGTGCACACACATCTACAGGCTAGACAATGGCACCCATTATGTATGGGGATGAAATCCTTGGACCCATTGTCAGACCCTACGCTGGTGCAGTGGGTTCTGGGTTCCTCCTGGTGCACAACAATGCCCAGCCTCATGTGGCGAGAGTATGCAGGCAGTTCCTGGAGGATGAAGGAATTGATATCATTGAATGACCCCCCACACTCGCCTGACCTAAACCAAATAGAACACCTCTGGGATATCATGATCCGGTCCATCCGATCTGCCAGGTTGCACCTCAGATAGTCCAGGAGCTCCGTGATGCCCTGGTCCAGATCTGGGAGGAAATCCCCCAGGACACCATCCGTGGTCTCATTAGGAGCCTCCTCTGACATTGTCAGACATGCATACAAGCACGTGGGGGCCATACAAACTACTGAGGACCATTCTGAGTTGCTGCAATGAAATGTCAGCAAAATGGACTCGCCTGCTGCATCATTGTTTCACTTTGATTTTTGGGGTGTCTTTGAATTCAGTCTTCTGTAGGTTGATAATTTTCATTTCTATCAAACAATGGTACATCCTTACGTTCCCAACACATTACCCCGTCCATATCAGTATAGAGATCCAGCAGGAGATGTTTCCCCATTGAGATGTGATGTGTTTTCAAAGTATTCCTTTAAGATTTTTGAGCAGTGTGTGTATGTGTGCGTGTATATATATATATAATTTACACTATAATTTGTATCTTAAAAGCAGCAGAAGCAAATGAATATAATGGGGGAAAAATATTTTGTTTCGATTTAACTCCTAATTAATCCTGTCATTGACCTTAAATAACCCCTGTATATTTTTTTATGCTTTATTTGCAGCGTTGATTTTAATAGACTAGTGAAAAGTGATAACAGGATAAATGTTCTTCTTGCAAAGTGAATTAAAATCCTTACCTCTCTTGAAGCCTGCTTCATCAGTATACAGAGGTCCCTTGACGTGGGACTGTGGCTTACGCATGTATTTGCAAATATGAGCAAACAAAACCCTCTCTTTTTAACGCATACTGTTAGACAGGCCAAATTGGTTGTTTTGCAGGCTGGCTGGTAAGTGTTGCTGGGAAATCCTTTTTTGTCTGTAATGTGCAATGCCTTCCACCTTACTGCTAAGGCTTGTTATAGGTTGGGATGGTTGCCTTTTTTGTGCAGTTGGCTAATTTGGACGCAGGGATGCACTGGATGACTTTGCTGTCATTTTGTATAGCTGGGCGCCACGTGCGTCCCTGTACATTTAAGGAGGAAGAGGCTCCTCCATGCACACCTGCCCTTAACCTATCCATTGATATATGTGCTCTTACTATGGGGGCTCTGGAAATTTTAGTTCGGTCCACAGTATACAGAGGACCCTTGACGTGGGTCTGTGGCTTACGCATGTATTTGCAAATGTGTGCAAACAAAACCCTCTGTTTTTAACGCAAACTGTTAGGCAGGGCCAAATTGGTTGTTCTGCAAGCTGGCTGGGAAATTGTTTTTTGTCTGTTATGGTGGGAAATTGCTGGGAAATTGTTTTTTGTCTGTTATGGTGAACATTCCATGAAGTGTTTTTTGAATGGCGGTTTAAGGAGAGGCAGGAAAATGTCTACAATGATGCAAGAAGAGGGTAGCTAAAAACTCAAAGAATGGATGCAAATGTGGATGGAATTACGGTTACGGGAATCTCTCCAGAGGAACAGACTAGAACTCTGGTCTGACACGTGGATTCTCCACCATGACAATGCTTCTGCATATGATATGTTACATGATCGCAAATTTCTGGCCCAGAAATCCATTTCGAAACTTTACCAACCACCTTCTTGTTCTATTTAATCTATATGTAAGTGATATACTTAAAGGTTTGTTGGGCAAGATATGTCTTTTTGCTGATGATACAAAGGTGGGTAATAGAGTTGATATCCCTAGAGGTGTCTGTAACATGGAACATGATTTGGCATTGCTGGAAGATTGGTCAAATAAGTGGATGCTGGAGTTTAATGTTTCTAAATGTAAAATAATGCACCTAGGGAAAAAGAATACCTTGAGAGAGTACAACATTGGGGGTACATTGCTGGCCAGCACCAGAGAGGAAAAGGATTTGGGGGTACTTATTTTCAGATGACTGCAAAATGAGCCAGGCACTGGGGAAAGCAAATTGAATTCTAGGATGCATTACTAGAGGGGTCACCAAGAGGAGGAAGGACATCCTTATTTTCGCTATATAGATCTTTATACCACTGGAGGGGTCACCAGCAGGAGAAAGGAGGTCCTGATTTCTCCATATAGATCTTTATATCACAAGAGGGGTCATCAGCAGGAGGAAGGAGGTCCCGATTCCTCTATATAGATCTTTATATCACAAGAGGGGTCATCAGCAGGAAGAAGGAGGTCCCGATTCCTCTATATAGATCTTTATATCACAAGAGGGGTCATCAGCAGGAGGAAGGAGGTCCCGATTCCTTTATATAGATCTTTATATCACTAGAGGGGTCACCAGCCGGAGGAAGGAGGTCCCGATTCTTCTATATAGATCTTTATATCACCAGAGGGGTCACCGGCAGGAGGTCCCGATTCCTTTATATAGATCTTTATATCACTAGAGGGGTCACCAGCCGGAGGAAGGAGGTCCTGATTCCTCTATATAGATCTTTATATCACCAGAGGGGTCACCGGCAGGAGGTCCCGATTCCTCTATATAGATCTTTATATCACCAGAGGGATCACCAACAGAAGGAAGGAGGTCCCGATTCCTCTATATAGATCTTTATATCACTAGAGGGGTCACTAGCAGGAGGAAGGAGGTCCCGATTCCTCTATAGATCTTTATATCACTAGAGGGGTCACTAGCAGGAGGAAGGAGGTCCTGATTCCTCTATAGATCTTTATATCACTAGAGGGGTCACCAGCAGGAGGAAGGAGGTCCTGATTCCCCTATATACAGTAGATCTTTAGTTAGAATACTGTGTCCAGTTCTGGAGACCTCACTTAGAAAAAAATCTTGATAGGATAGAACGAGTCCAAAAATGGTGAATGATCTGGGGCATAAAACATATCAGGAGAGACTACAGGAACGTATTGTGTACAGTCTGGAGGAAAGAAGGGGAGACATGATTGAGACCTTCAAACACATCAAGGGGGTGAATAAGGTTCAGGAGGGCAGGATTTTCAACATGAACCTGGGGACATGAGTTCAAAACTAATCTTAGAAAGTATTATTTTACTGAAAGAGTATTTGATGCTTGGAATAAACATCCAGCAGAGGTAGTGATCCAGTCAACAGTAAATGGCTCCAAACAAACTTGGGACAAACATACAGTTGCAAGAAAAAGTATGTGAACCCCTTGGGATTACGTGGAGTTTTGCATGAATTGGGCATAAAATGTGCTCTGAACGTCATCTAAGTCACAACAATAGAAGAACACAGTCTGCTGAACATAATACTACACAAACATTAGATGTTGCCATGGTTTAATTGCACATAACATGTAAACATTCACAGTGCAGGGAGGAAAAAGTATGTGAACCTTTGGACTTAATAACTGGTTGACTCTCCTTTGGCAGCAATAACCTCAACCAAACGTTTCCTGTAGTTGCAGATCAGACCTGCACAACGATCTGGAGTCATTTTGGACCACTCCTCTTCACAAAACTGTTTCAGTTTAGCAATATTCTTGGGATGTCTGGTGTGAATCGCTCTCTTAAGGTCATGCCACAGCATTTCAATCGGGTTGAGGTCAGGACTCTGACTGGGCCACTCCAGAAGGCGTATTCTGTGCTGTTGCAGCCATTGTTTTGTTGAATTACTTATAGAGTTGTCAGTCCACCCCTGAGCAGACAGTCTCAGTTTTGTTCATTGCTGCTTACGTGAAATTTGCTTTAAAAAGTCCACTTTTTTTCTTTAGTTACACTGTTTTTTAGTGCTTTTTGCAGAAACGCACTACAGTCCATTTAACGTGGTTTCCTATGGGACACGTTTCACATCTATGCTTTTTTGGAAAGGGTCAGGGACTTTTTTAAATGCAAAATGGTGCGTTTTTAGTTCAATAAACTTCAATAGAGACGCTGCAGAAAACGTAGGTAGTGCATATTTTATGCATTTATCATGCATTTTTTACGCATTTCTCATTTTTAATCTGTCCAGCTAGAAATTGGCCAAAACCCCCCCCAAAAGATTACAAATGCATCAAAAACGCGCATGAAAAAACAAAAAATGCACCACCAGGGGCGGACTGACCATTTGGAAACTCGGGCACTGCCCGAGGGCCCGGGGTCAGTAGGGGGCCACATGAGATGCCCCTGATACCTTTTTCATAGGCTTTTTTAAATTTGGGCAAGGAGACAGGGGCCCCATGATCCCCTATTGCCCGGGGGCCCCATGAGTTGTCAGTCCGCCCTTGTGCACCACAAAAATCACTGCAAAATGGACAAAAAGGCATACTGGGCGTGCCTGAGTTTCCAAATGGTCAGTCTGCCCCTGCGTCTGCTTTATTGAACAAAGTGATTTCACAGCAAAACCAATTTTGTAAAAATGACTCCACTTATCCCCATTCAGTAGATGCCTACCGTAGCTATAATGTACAAAGCAATCGGCTCCATAAAAGCAATCTGAAATAATATATATATAAATGAAAGACATTCTATGGTCACAGTACACCCTTTCATTTGAATATATATACCATTGTAATACCAATACAAACAATAGTTATATTTGAAAATCCAATATCAGCTCACTTGAAAAATCTCCTTCTCTTATCCGCTTGACAATAAAAATATTTTGGTACCGGAAAAATCTCCTTTTATGTTGTGAGTTCTGCCTGTCTGCTGGCTGTCTCTTTCCGCAAATCCCAGGACTCCAAGCATGCTTTGCAGCTTCTCCGTTTCTAAGGACTAAATATCCCATGGTACCTTGCTGCCTGCAAGCAGGGATTCCTGTACTGACTCTGCCTCCTGAAACTCCTCCTCCCAGCCCCTCTGTAGTTCAGAAGGCAGGCTCTGTGAAATGGGTGACACGGTGGTGCCTATCACAGGACTACGGGTCACAGAATTCAAGGAAGTAAATGTGTGGGATCATCATAAAGTTTACACACTTCAGGATCATTTCCAATTAGGGGTGTGGTACCAGGGGCGTATTTACCACAAGGCAAACAAGGCGTTTGCCTAGGGCGGCATTTTTTAGGGGGGCAGCGCAGCCCTCCATAAGAAGGGACATATGTGGCATGGGGACCAGGTAGGATCCAAGACTGCGGGCTGCTTGATGGTGTATGCAGAGCCCAAGTGTCGTTCCTGTGGATGTCCGGAGCTGTGAAGGTGAGTGTCTCTCTGTCACCAGCAGGGGGTTGGGTTTTATTGGAAGGCTCTCTCGGGTGGGGTTGGGGATCGGGCAGGGGTGTTGTTGATCGCTGTCAAGCTCTCTCCATGGGGGAATCTGGTGTTGGTCAATGTCAGGCTCTCACTGCTGGGTTGGGGGTCTGATTTTTGTGTTGCCTAGGGCAGCACAAAACCTAAATACACCACTGTCTCCCACCCCATGTATACCTAATTCAGGATCATTTAGATTAACCACTTGAGCTCCAGAAGGTTGTACCCCCTTCCTGACCAGGCCATTTTTTCCTGTTTAGCACTGTGCTACTTAACTGGTAATTGAACAGTCATGCAACGCTCTACCCAAATTACATATATACTGTTTCATTTTTAGCAAACAGAGCTTTTTTTGTATGGTATTTGATCACCACTGCGTTTTTTTAATTTTTTTGTGATATAAACAAAAAATACCCCAAATGAAAAAAAAAAAACATTATTTTTAACTTTCTGAACTTTCTAAAAACATTCTTTAACTTTCTAAAAAAAATCTAATTTCTTCATAAAACCCAATAAGTGTGTATTGATTGGTTTGTGTGAAAGTTATAGTGTCTACAAACTATGGTATATATATATATTAGAATTTTTAGTTATTTTTTTATACTACCAATGGCAGTGATCAGTGACTTTTATTGGGGCTGTGATAGTGCGGCAGACAATCTGACACTTACACTGAGGGAACTGACCAGGGGCGGACTGACCATTTGAGCCCGGGTCAGTAGGGGGCCCCATGAAATGCCCCTGGTACCTTTTTCATAGGCTTTTTTGAGTTTGGGCAAGGACACAGGGGCCCCATGATCTCCTATTGCCGGGGGGCCCATGAGTTGTCAGTCCACCCCTGAGAAGAGGGATAGTTGTGTGTGTGTTTGGGTGGGGGGGGGGGGAAGAGCTGCCTGCAGAAGGTTTTTTACCCTAATGCATAGGATGCAGCCTTTACAACCACTTTAACACCAAATGTGCTCCATGCAGGTAGGGAGAGAGAGATGCCAACTTGCCGTATGTTCATGCCTGCAGGGCCGTGGATAAGGGGGTATCACCAGTTCTCCTGTACGGGGCCCAGGCCAGCGGGGGGGCCCAGGCAGCTAGGTGAATCAGATGTGGGCAGGTAGGGTGATGGGAACAGAAGGGGGGGTCAATTACTGACCCCAGGCCCTCGGGCAGTGCCCGAGTTTCCAAATGGTCAGTCCGCCCCTGTCTCTTATACTTACTTGAGCCCAATCGCGATCCAGTGCTGTGCATGCGTGGAGAGGCTCTATCGGCTCTCTTCCTACACATTGGCTCAGGGACAGCAGTGGGAGCCATTTGCTCCTGCTGTTGTCAATCACATCCATTGAGGAGGGAGCAGGGGGTGGGGCCAAGCCATACTCTGAGAGTCTATACACACACAGAGCAGGGCTCAGGCGCGAACATGCACAAGTGCCTCCATAGAAAGTGGCTAGCACTTGGCTGAGGGGAGGAGCCAGGAGAGCCAGAAGGGGACCTGAGAAAAGGAAGATCAGGGCTGCTCTGTGCAAAACCATTCCACAGAGCAGGTAAGTATGCGATGTTTGTTATTTTTTAAAAATAAAATGTTATCTTTTACTTTAAGTCCTACAAAATTTTGGACAGAAAATTCAAGTGAGGATGTGAGCACTTTATATGTATTCTGAGGCTTTTCAATATGGTAGAATGCATGCATCCAAACCATAAACCAGACCTAGAAAAGATCTTCATAAATACTGATGTGTCCATAGGTAAAAAGAGTGCTGTGACAAAGGGGGCAGTAGTGGCATCCAACATGGATACAGCACTATCACACGAAGGGGGGCAGGAAGGGCAGCCAACATGTACACAGCGCCATCACACAAAGAGGGGCAGAGAAAGGGCAGTCAACATGGACACAGCGCCATCACACAAAGAGGGGCAGGAAGGGCAGTCAACATGGACACAGCGCCATCACACAAAGAGGGGCAGGAAGGGCAGTCAACATAGACACAGCGCCATCACACAAAGAGGGGCAGGAAGGGCAGTCAACATGGACACAGCGCCATCACACAAAGAGGGGCAGGAAGGGCAGTCAACATGGACACGGCTCCATCACAGAAAGGGGGGCGGGAGGGGCAGCCAACATGGACACAGTGCCATCACTCCAAGGGGGAGCAGAAGGGGAAGTCATCCCGGGCACAGTGTCATCACACAAGGGAGGGGGCAGGAGGGGCAGCCAACATTAACACAGGACCATCTCACAAAAGAGTGTCGGAGGGCAGCCAACATGAACACAGTGTCATTACGCAAAGGGGGGCAGGAGAGGAAGCCAACATGGACACAGCACCATAACACAAAGAGGGGCAGGAGGGGAACCAACATGGACACAGCGCCATCACACAAAAGGGGGGCAGGAAAAGCAGCCAATGTGGAAACAGTGCCATCACACAAAGAATTTTTTGACAGCTACTGCTATCACACATTGTACAGAAATCCCACTTTCCACCTCAGCCACCCACAGTTGACAGAAGAACACATTGCCCATGTGTAACATTCTTCCAGCTGTCAGCAATAGCTTGTCCCTGCATGCACAGTGCACCCGGCAAGCCAACCATGGGCAAGAGGGCAGAGAATGGGTACAGGGCAGTATGCAATTGCAAAGGTGATAAGGGGTTTTGCCACCTCTCCCTGGGTGCTGGATGACACCATACTGGTACTGAACACAATGATCAAAGTTGGTATTTTCTATCACTCTCCATGGACATGAAAGCTGAACAATGAAGACGCAATATAGGGAAAGATGCCTTTTAAAATTGATGCCTTTAAATTTTGGTGTTGACCAAGAATTTTAAGAATACATGGAAAAGAGCTTGACATGGATTCTTCATCAAGTGAAACCCAACCTTTGACTAGAGGCCCAGATGACTATACTAAGGATCTTATAATCTGGGCATATTATGAGAAGAAGCAACTCATTGGAAAAGACATAACAAGAAGCTGATCAGCAATAAGATGTAAGATGGATGAATACAGTAACAGAAATTCTAATCATGCCATTGCAAAGACTTAAAGCAGACCTTCAACCATTTAAATAATGTTCCCTCTCCTGCCTCCTCCTCCACCCTCTTAAACTTCTTTTTTCTTTTTTTTTTTAGCTCCCTTCTTTTAAGATCTCCATAGGAGATGCTTTAAAAGCCTTTACAGGTTACTAGTTTATAGTTACACAGGAGGTATAGTGCTAGAATTATTGCTGTCACTCTGAAATTCACCATAATACCTCACGTATGCTGTGATTACTGGTTACATATGCTTGCAAGACCAAAGGGTGTGTTCGCTTTTGCACTTAAGCATGGGGGGGGGGAGTGCTGTAAAAAAAAATTATTTTATTATTTATTTGTTTTTCATTTTTTTTTTCCCACTGTTTACATTTTGTTGGATCACTTTTTTTGCTGTCACAAGGAATGCAAACATAACTTGTGATAACATTAAGCAGTTACATAGTTTGGCTGAAAAAAGACAAAAATCCATCCAGTTCAACCATAATAAAAAAAAAAAAAAATCATAATCCTACACCCACAGTTGATCCAGAGGAAGGCAAAGAAAACCTAGCAAACTGTGATCCAATTTGCTCATGAAGGGAAAAAAATTCCTTCCTGATCCCCCAAGAGGCAATCGGATATTCCCTGGATCAACCTTACCTATAAATGTTATATCCAGTTATATTCTGTGTATCTAGGAAAGAATCCAGGACTTTTGTAAAGCAATCCAGGGAGCTGGCCAGAACCAACTCTTGAGGAGTCTACTTCACATTTTCACAGCTCTTACACAGTGACAGGTCCTTTTTTTCGAGAGATCTGGGGTCTATTAGATCCCAGATCTTTGCTTTGCCCTTAAAGCTTCTGATCACACTAAGATCGGCATGATCAGATACTTTTTACACCTCAAAAATGACATGTACATGCTGGAGAAACCCAGAAGTGAGAAAATACTCGTCGCTTCCAATTTCTAATACCACAGAGATGCTCGGGGAAGATTCGGTCCCCGATCACCTCTATGGTAAGCCGGTGGCTTCTTGGAGAGGCCCCGCAGGACAGCAGGAGGAGGGCTGCCTGTAAAAGTAATCCAGCAGCCAATTAGCCTCCAGGATTGCTTTAAAAAAAAAAGAGAATCATCTGGTGAAAAAACAATATTGGGGTGATGTCTGTAGCTGCAGTCATCATCCCTGTATTCCACTTGAACATAAATGTTCGTAAGGTGGTCTTTAACCACTTTACTGCTGTGCTATAGCCAAATGACGGCTACAGTTCTGTAATCCAGTTCTGAGAGGGCGGTCTGTAATCACTGTGTCCTTTGGACACAGCTGATCACATGACGTAATAAAAGGCCAATCACAGCAGGCTTTTGCCACATGATTAGCTGTATCCAATCACACCAGTTATTGGCAGTACTTTCCTCACACTGTCACAGCATGAGGAAAGTACTGCCGGTAACTGGCAACTGTCAAAGCAAAGATCTGCACTGATTATTAGTGCCCTGATTATCAGTGCAGCCCCAAAAGTACCCAACAGTGCTGCCCATCAGTGCCCAACAGTGCTGCCCAGCAGTGACCAACAGTGCTGCCCATCAGTTCCCAACAGTGCTGCCCAGCAGTGCTGCCAATCTGTGCCAGTCAGTGCCGCCAGTCAGTGCCACCTATCAGTGTCGCCAGTCAGTGCCCTTCAGTGCTGCCTATCAGTGCCCATCATTACCACCTATCAGTGCCCATCAGTGTCGCATATCAGTGCAGTATCATCAGTGCCTCCTCATCAATGCCCTCCAGTGCCACCTCTCAGTGCTAC